GAAACTCAAGCCACAGGGAATTGGAATAATACATACGAACATTAGGTCATGGAATCCCCAACTATTTTTCAAATCTGTTCTGGTCAGTAGCAATAAATGTTCTTCAACTTCAACAAAGAGTGTGGCACATACAAACAACCTCCCAGGTAAGAGTCTATCCATTTCCTGCAACCGCTTATCCCCCCTCAAGGGTCTGTCCCAGTTCTCAAACACCTTGTACTGGTCGCCAGTCAATCACGGCGCACAGAGCCAGACAAACAGTCCCATCATCACTGAGGGAGAACTCAAGTCAGGCGAATGAACCACAACGAGAGCATTGCCCTACATTTGGTTTCAAGAAAATACGACCAGAAAGTTTCCTGGGCAGGTGCGCCCGATTTTGTGGCTGGGGAGCGGCCAAAGGAACCGCAATCGGCACACACGTGCGCACCCCCGTGGACGCATGTGACGCCGACGCGCAACCGCTCCCTCTCGCTTCCGTATCTGTCGGGCACACGCGCGCCGCGACATCACATCACATCATCTCAGCGAGCGTGTTTAACCTAATCACACTCAGCCATGCGTGAACCTCGGATGGGGGAGTCAGGTCTGTTATGACAGCCGATGTGCTGTGTGACAGCCACGGGCTTTCGAGAGCACCGACCGACAGGCTGCTTTTTAAGACGCGCGTTGAACTGGACGCAGAACACAAGGCCTACGCACAGCGATGGCGGAGATGCGGGGGGGGGTATTGCGGAACGAAGCAGGGAGCCAAGACTTTGAGGCAGACAGAGTGACTAATTGTATGTTTCACTTCCGCAGCATCAAATCGTAGGCAGACACACAGTGGGATGCAGCCCCCCCCTGGATTCGAGATTTGCCCTTTGAAGGCTCTTGGTAGAATTTATCGAGTTCTGCTAAAATGTCAGAGAAAAAAGGGGAGAACACTGTGGTCAAGCATATCCTCTAAAAAATAAAAATAAAAATCTAACTAAAGACATAAATGATGCGTGAAGTGACTCGACTGTATCGATGTCCTACTTGAAACTTGAGTTTGTGATTGAGCAATGATCGTATCCAGCGAACCTTCCATTTCTCCGAAGTAGCATCGAATCTACGAATCATCGAAATAGTTCCAGCACCTCCGTGTGAAGTTGATGCGATTCAGTTCGCATCGATCTTTGCGAGTCAAACCCACCTGAAAATCTGTTCGTCTTAGCTTGAGTGTTCAAGTGATATGAATAAATATCTTTCATTGGCAATGTAATAATTCCGAGTCACCATGGCAACGCAGACCCGTATTATTACAAGCCAGTGTTCAATTCAGTTCCAATTATCCGTGAAGTTATTTTAGGACATCATTGACACATATTTTAGCTTTAATCAACTTCAGCGTTATTCAAGCGGGACTGTCACGACATAAAATTGCTTTTTCACAGTCATCATCATCATCATCATCATCATGTTGAACTAAAAAAGCCAACCAGTCAGCAAGACGTGTGCAACATGTCCACATCGAATTGCTTTTTTCCAGGGGAAACGTTACCCTGAAAGTACCCCCGTCATCACACCTGGCAAGTATATCTCAATGTCGGGATATTTTTCAAGATATTTTTTCCTCGAGGGCCACCTGAGTACACGCTAACACGGGGAAGCTGTTTGCCGCCGCTTTCTCTGCTCCCATAAGGATGCTCCGATACACATGACTGCCTTTTGTGAGACGCGCCCGGTCGCCAGACTCTCACGCAATGTTTCCAAGCTTTTTTGTCACTTCCAAAAACAAGCTTCATGATGTTCATACTTTCCTGTGATTGTCCCAAATGAATGAAGCCACTGGTAGGTGGTGAACTCAACTGAATCATGCGGCTCAGTGGCATTTTCTATGCCCAAGACAATCTTTTGGAAATAAGCAGCGCGATCAAGATTTACAGTACTTGGTTGTTTAATTTCACACTCGATGGCCGGGCAAATGCAGAGACCCAACTATTAGTATACACGCTATTAAAAAGTCCATTTTCAATGATATGTCCCGGAAAGGGTGGACTTGTAAAAGAATTACACGACGGCATAAAAAAGATCAATTCCAAAAGAAAGAGATAATCACACAGACGGAGAGAGCGGAGAGTGGAGCCCTTTTCCCGTGGCGACACCGCACTATTGATCCCGGCTTGTTTCCTGGAGAGTTTCGGTGAGATCAGGGCGAGCGCTGACACAGCCATCACAATGCATTATGGGGGAATCAAAGAGAGAGGCCAGCATTGGCCGCCGAGCAGGAACTTGCGCCTGCGGGAATCGAGGAAGAGCGGAGGGGAGAGAAAAATGGGACAAGGACTAACAGAGGCGTCCGATGAAACGCCGCTTAACGGGATTTTCAGTCACGGCCAGTCGCTCGCCGTGCTGTCTCCGACTCTCAGTGGCGCTCTGAGAGGACACAGGTGGAAGAAAACAGGAACAGAAATTAAGTGAGGGGGGTGGGAAACGGGGGTGAGAATTAGGGTGTCAAAATAAGAATTCTGGAAGTGTCAAATTGGTATGAGTACACACTCACGGGCATATGTTTGTGCATGTATGTGTGCACGTGCGTGTGTGTGTGTGTGTGTGTGTGTGTGTGTGTGTGTGTGTGTGTGTGTGTGTGTGTGTGAGGCAAGAGGGTGACAATGAGGTGAGAAGCATTGTGGGATTCAGGGAGTCAAACACGAAACGCCAAGTGAGAAGGATGACACGGGCAAGCTGCATGTGGGATGTCTGAAAATTGTTTATTAGGCTGAGAGAGGCAGCGAGGGAGTGGGCGGGGGGGGAGAAAAAGATAGAAAGGAACAAAAATGAAGAAACTGATGAGAGAAAAAAGAAACAAAGAAAAAAAAAGATTTTAAAAAAATAAAGATAACACAACATCCATCCATCCATTTTCTGATCCACTTAATCCTCACAAAGGTCACGCACGGGAGGTGCTGGAGCCTATCCCAGCGGGGGACACCCCTGAACCGGTTGCAAGCCAATCGCAGTGACAACAAAACAAAGAAACAGAAAATAAGAAAGAAAAAAAGAGGAGAGTGCTAGAAAGAGAGAGGGGGGGACGAGTGACCCGTAGAGAAGAGGTGGAGAGTGAGGGGGCAAGCAAGAGTGGGACATAAAGGGAGAGAGATAGAGAGCGAATGAGAGCGGGGGAGAGAAAGAAATGTCAGTGGACAGCTTCCATGTGCTGGCTGCAGAGCAACAGAAATGTCAAGCATGGAGAAACTGCTGATGTCTTTCACACAAGCGTGCGTGCGTGCGTGCGCAAGCGTGCATGCGTGCGTGTCACTGGGTCATGTTCTGGCGAATCTCGAGGCGGGCACAACTACAAGAAATCGAGTACCGGTGATGAAAAGTAATTTTGCATCATGTTCAAGTTCGATATTGTGCTTTCCGTTCATGTTGTACGGCGGGGCTGCGTTGTTGACACGTGAGCAGGAAAGCGTTGCGCTTGCTTCCGGAACGTGTTTAAAGGAGAGCGACATTTTGGTTTTGCGTACGGGTCTGCATCCACCCGATCCTCCGGTTTCCGATTTTCTCATCAAGTTGGGCCTGAAAATGTTGTGACTAAAAAACATGCGCAATGGTGGGAAATCAAGAGAAACGGTTGGGCGACAAGGACATTTTCACACAAAGGACGACAACGTTGCAGGCTTCCAACGACGCCTTCATTTACATGTCGTAAGTATTGGCGCCCCGCTGTTGTTGCAGGACATTTTGACAAGTTGAATAAGGGAAGGAAGGGCGCAGGTGCATCTGATCCCTTTTAATAGTCGCTCATCTCTCTCTTTATGTGTCTCCCAAAGCTGCGCGTGTCAATCAGGGATTTATTAGCGAGGGAAAGCTGCCATCATCAAGGTGAATAATTACAAAAGGGCCATCGTTTATGATGATTACATCTCCCTTTCCAAACTATTTGCACTCCTGAGGTAACACTTCAGATGACGGAGTCATTTGTCATGAGACTCGGGATGGGAAGAAATATCCTTTCCTCATTTGATATATTTAATATATATATATTTTTTTTTAATCTATTTTTTCCCCCCCCAATCGCGACAGTAATATAAACTCCTCATTACCAAGGTGAAGTATATGAAACCTCATTTTTGACTTCTTTGAAACGGGAGTAATACATATTTTAGAGAGCCGGATTATTTTGGGCTAACGATACGGCACCAAGACAAGGGAACATGTAATTATCTCGCCAGACATGTCATCTCATTTTTTATCCTTCTCTCTGTTTTTCCCGGCGCAGCAGATGACAGAATTCACAAATCACTTTCCTTGGTAGTGGGGGGGACCAAGGCAGGCTGAGAAACAGATGGGCATCATCGAGATATATGTGCACGTGGACATTTATTTATAGGTGGGGTATTAAAAAACATGACGGGAGAGTTTTAACGAGAGCCGAAGCAAAACGTGACAAAGCGAGCGGGTGCTTCTGAGACAAGACAGCAGCTGAAACGTTGACCGTATTTTGTCGACTCCATTCACCCTCCCGCCACTTATTCGTCTTTCGCCGCTTCTCACCGTGATCTTTATTTCACTTCCATTTCCCTTCAAAATCTTCCGCCGTTTGCGACCTTGAGTTTCCTCTCCCTCCCTTCCGCACTCCTCCAAGCTACACTGCGGCGAACGTAAAATCCGCGGGAACGCATCCAAGCGCTACGTCCAATTCTCGGATGGCCTTTGCATCACTAACCCAGAACGGTCCGTTAATAAGGTAGCAGTCACAAGATGGGGGCACAAATATGGGGGGCGGGAAGGTGGTAGCGGGGGCTGGGAGAAGATTTGAAGGTCAAACCCCGGCGTGTGTTCGCACACATACAGACATATCTCGCCCACACACAACGTGTGTGTCTGTGTGTGTGCAGCATAAATCTCTGTTAGACATGGTGGGTGGACACACTGGCGGGAGATTTATGCTTGAAAACATGAAGCCGGGCTCTTGAGCCAAAAAGAGGGGACAGAGGCAAAGGCTGAGCGTTGATGAGTGGGTGGTGAGGTTTTTTTTTTTTTTTTTTTTTTTTTTGGGTGAATGACTGATCATGGTGTGGTGGCACGGTGACCTAGTGCTGAGCACATCTGGCGCACGGTTCGGAGGTTGGCAGTTTGAATTCGAGCTCTCGTGTGCTCCTCAAGGGCGTGCAGTGACCTTTGGAGCGGCAAGTAAAAAGAAGGACCTCAAAAGGTTCCACTGCATATTGGACGGAAACCGCTTTTCACTGAGTTAAGCAGTCACAGGTTGGTAAAAGAAAGAAAAAAAAAGGCATTATTATTCCAAATTGTCGACAGAATGAATGAATATTTCCCCTATGATGCTTGCATTTCACATTCATGATCAGTGGTGCCAAGTGTTGTTATGGGCGACCGTGGTGAACGGCCGCAGGAGGGTTTTATGGGCCTTCGTTAAAGTCAGCCAGCGGAGCCACTGCGGTTCATCCCGAGAATATGGATGAGATCATTTCTACTCATGACGACGCGCACACACGCGCGAGGGAAGTCTGGACGATTGAGAGCGTTGCGAGTGCCAGGTCCCTACAATGGGGGACATTTCAAATAAGACACAATAACTGATTGTATATTTGCGTGTGTTGGTTTATTTGTTACATTGCTATCTGGACTACGAGGAGCGAGTGTGTAAATAAAAGCGTCTAACATGTACAACATCATTCACATTTTTCACTTTTGTCCCTCCGTGACCCTCCTCCGTCGTCATGGCTCTGTTTTTCCTCTTATGAGACTTCTTTCGTTTCTTTATTGTAATCCATTAGTTGCCCCAAAGGTCTGTTTTGAAATTTTCATGGGAAATTTAATACGCATACCCCCATGGCCTTTTCTCCTGTCTGAAGGAATTCATAAACAAGTCCCCGCTTGCCGCTTTTGCATAAAAAGGGGGGGAAGCTGACCTTCAGCCCTTAGATCTCGTTTGTAAATGTTGAAGTGGACTTGTCCGGAAAGTCCATCTCAGAATGACAACATACACATCAACGTATTATTGGCTACTTACGGCAAATTCACAGAAACACATTTCAAGCGTCACCATAATAGCAGCGCTAGCAATGCTAGCCTAGCATTAGCACTGTCAACAAGCCCAATTGCTACATACGACACATTTTTGATTGACGGTTACTTAAAAAAAAAAAAAAAACTTTTGAATTTCTATTTTTGGGAATGTGAAATCAAAAGCTCAAAAGGAGGAAACGCACTTACCTGCCAGGTCCAAATGTTGCTAATTCGGCCTCAGTCCTGGAATCTCTCATCTGTCCGAGGTCCCTCCACCTCAAAAAGGGCAACGGAAGTCACGAGGGCGTGCCCGCAATTGGCGCGTCTGCAAGTGCAAGAGAAATAATTGACACGTCATCAGTCCTGGTTTCTGTCTGTCTCCGATTGGTTGTTTTTTTTTTCTCAGACTTGGCGCTCTCTTGCCAATCAAATGAGTCAAATTAATTAATCCCTTGCAAGTCTGACAGTGGTCGCAATTTAAATTAAGTGCACAGAAAATAGAAATCTTAAATTCCTCCGCGTTCCTTTCCTGAACGCATAAAAAGTAGCAGGACGTTCTACAAAGTGTATCCCCCGGTACATCTTCCAAGGCCCCCCCCCATAAAAAAAATAAAAAGATCTATTTTAAATCTACACAGACCCGGTGAGTCAGCACATCTCAACGGCAAACATCCCCACCTGTTCAGTGTCACGTACAACGTGATGGATCGCGATATGCTCGACATATTTCGATCAACAGCAAAATTCTTTGCAGAAAAAAATATGCTGCGTCTGAAGGAGACCAGACACTCAACAAGCTGGACTTGAAAGAAATTCAAGCTTAAAGGGATGGAGCCCTTGAGTCGGGGGATATGTGCACGCGTGTGTGTGTGTGTGTGTGTGTGTGTGTGTGTGTGTGTGTTAAGTGAAAAAGCTCCGGGGTCTGCTTGGCCCTTGTGATGAAAGAACAAGTTCAAAGCTCAGATTAGCTCAATAATTCATCACTTCACCAGGGCTGAGGGAATCACCGCTCGAGTGTGACTTACATGCGCGCATGCGTCGCCATTGGTTATGATCAATTCATTCGTTCCACAGGTAGACAAGACGGTTGGATGCACACGTGCTTCTAAAGGGGATTTGTCCGGCAAGGATTTATACTTTCCAGGTGGAAAAAGGGTCTCGCTGAGGCGACGACTGAATTCAATTTTCGAGAGATGGATTCGAGAATCTTCTTTTTTTTTTTTTTTCCTGATGCCTCGCTGATCAGAAATCTGAAGTACTTCCTGGCAAATTAATTGGGGCAAATGAGGCTTGTGAATTTTGGACCCAAGCGGAGTCTTGTTGCGTAACGTGGGTTTTTCTCATCCCCCTCACCCCCACATTCCCACCACCCAAAACCAAAAAAATGATCTGCAGCTGTTATGCAGAGCCGCAGATGATTATACAACACTGCACAGACGTTACATATTCCATCTAACGCTCGCAGAACATTTCAAAAAGATGAGCATGCTTACAAATATTACAAATGATGGATGACGGAGAATTACATCTTTGGGAAAAATTGAAATTTGAGACGAGAGGCATTGGCGTATTGAGATTCACTTATGAACAATTAGAGAGGAAAGGAGAGTAAGAGGGAGGAATAATGGACAACTCACAATGACTTGGAAGGAGGCAAGAGGGACTTCAGATGCCCGGCGCGCTCCGAGCACCAATTTGTACAGCAGGAAAAGGGAAATAACGGCGTGGAGAATTCATTCCCACACAGCGCGGACAAACACATCCATCAATTGTAAATAATAAGCAGCGAATTAATACAAGGCAACGTCACGTGGAAGCAGTTTCTGTTGATTTTGTTGACGTTCGTTCCCCACTGTCCCAAACGATAAAAGCGCTTTGAAAGGCCGATGTCATATTTTGCCTTTTTACCGGAGGTTGCCTTGTGTTTATTTCCCCTCTTCTGTTTACTCTTTATGTATCCGTGGGCCTTTGGATGATGTACAGTGCTCAATGGACAAGCAGCCCAAGTTATTGCGCTCTATAATGGGGGTTATACGCCCTCAGTTAGCCTGCAAATTGTGTTCTGGCAGGGGAGGAATGGAGCAAAAGGAGGAAAAGTGGGAGAGTAAATTGACTATTAAGTCGGTCTGACGCATTCAAACGGTTCACGACCTGATAGGAATAAACACAGAGTGGGAATAGGGGCTGGATTAAGAAGACTGCAAGTACAGATCTTATCCAAGGGCGAGCCGAGATAAGACGGAGAGAAGCAGAAAAATGTCACGACGCCAGGTAAACTCGGGTCTTCTTCAGGTTACGAGTTCAGCTTTTGAATTACGCAAGTTATTCCGTGTCTCACTCGAGGCAATGCTGCCCAACCAAACATCAACATGGAGGAAATATTGTGCTCCAGCAAGACCCTTGAATGAACAAATGTGTGTGTGTGTGTGTGTGTGTGTGTGTCCCTAAACAGTTTTTAAATAACTTCTAGTCAACTGTGTCTCCCTGACCCGCCCAGAGGTGGTCAAAGTCCCCGCACAGTGAAATGGTTTATTGAAATGGAACAACAGTTCAATGGCAATTTCAAAAATATATAGCAAGTCAACTCCAATGTTTGTTTATTATACCGTACTTGAATTTATACATTTGCACCTTCTTAAATGAATGATTAATCATTTTTATTTATTAATTTTTTTTTTACAAATGATCAGCTTTTTTTTTCTTTCAAACTCTCAATTAAATTGTCACAACAGGGCTAAATAAATAAATAAATAAATTCAACACAACACATTGCTGCTCGTTACGTTTTTTTTTTTTTTTTTAAATATATTTTTTTAGGTAACTCATGGCTGTCATCTGCCCACATCTTATACCGCCACCACTCAGCTAGATTGCAATGCAGGGCCACTTCCTCCCAGCAATGCCTCAGCTTTAATTTAATATGCATCTCAGGCAACGGCAGCGCATATTCATTTCTGTCCTATTTTGCATACGTTTGAGAACACGATTCAAATAATAATCCTTCCTTTCCATCCATTTGCTGTGCTGCACCGTTTGCATGGCACTGCAGTCTATCTCAGCTGACAGTGGGTCAGAGGTGGAGGTACAGCCAGGACAGATCACAAACATGATTTCATTCACACACACACACACACACACAGACACACACACACACACGCACACACACACAATAACATCTGCAAGCAGCAATGTCCAATTAACCTCGCATGCATGTCTGTGGGAGGATCCAATGGGCAACCCCTGCAGGAAGAGCACGAGGTTCTGGGAATACGAAAACCGGCCGGGAGGTTCAAACCCGGAGCCTTTTTGTTGTGAGGTGACCTCCTTCTAACCAACACACGACACAAGAGTTAAACTCATGAAGTCAGTCACGTGCCATCACCGTGCAACTTACATCAGAGGTTCTCAAGTCCGGGCATCCCATACAGGAGAGAATTGGGGTTTTTTAGGGTGAAGGACAAGGGCTTGGTAACTTTCTGGAGGAATGTCTTTGCTCCAAGGGAATTGTTTAAAAAAATAAAAATAAAAATCACCAAATTACCCACCATTACAATCCTCACAAACTCCGTTTTGGGGTCAAGGCATACTCAAGTTTATGCTTTATTAATTTAAGTGAGCACATTTGCCAGAAGGCAAGTCTGAGTCACAAACATTTTGTTGCATTTTAAAGCCTTTTAGTTTTTAGTGGATTCGCAGCATGGATGTGTAATGTCGTAGATTTTCTGCCCTATCTTTCCCTCTCACGCGGACAGATGGGGTGTTACGAATGACAGTTGAACCTCCAAGGTCAAAACACCTCCAACATCCATCTATCGGTTTTCATACTGAGCCTACTTGTGCGTTTCAGAGAAAGAGACTCTCCACGCTTTGCTTTCTCGTCCATCATTGCACTGGGTTTGTTTTTTTTTTTGTTTTGTTTTTAAATCATCCTACCATTCGGTACAGCTATGGGTGGACACTCAAGCAATCAGGTGTGCTTCTGCCATGACGCGAGACTCCAATGCACGTCAATCGCGCCGCATTTATCAGAAAGAAACAGGAGCCTCGTTGATTGGTGATGACTGAAATCATCTTTGACCACTCCCACAGCGGCGCAGCGCTCCCGACTGACAGATCCGCCAGCCCGTGAGAGAGAGTTATGTCAGAGTGATGCTGGCAGAAGCCCTTCCAGCAGTCCTCTACTTTGATGCAGAGCCCTGCTGGCCTACACACACACACACACACACACACACACACACACAGATTGAAGCACATGCATTCGAACCCCCCCAAGTTGAATGCCCCATAATTCAAATTCTATTTTCACATGAACATAAAAGGACTCCAGACGCAAATTTTGTGCATCCCTCAAATGAATTATAGTCCCATGTTGACGGCACGAGTGTCGGGTGCATGCTGAAAATGTCCTCCCCCGACTTGCGTGTGCAATAAAGCAAATGTGTAAAATAGACATGCGTGGAAAACAGCTTGTCATAACACGGACACATCAAACGACTTCACTCTCGACGCTTATCGAGGAGTCAAATCATTAGCGCCTCGTCTCGAGCGTTGAGTTTGACTTGACTGAAGTGCACCGCCGCAAAACCGGTTGTCGTGAAATAATTCAACAGATGTATGAAAAATACAAGAGAAAGGAGGCAGAACCTGAGCCAGAAAAGCGAAAAGGACCCGTACATGGCTGCACCCGACTCTCTGGGAGCTCTCTGGTGGCTGGGAACAGCCCTGTGGTCAAACTGGAGACTGGCCAAGGATCTTTCCATCAATTAGTTGATTTTTTTTTCCCCCCTGCAGTCTCTCTCTGGCTAACTCCCTCTCTCTGATTCTGTTCATCTTTCCCTCCGTGTGAGTTCCATGATTTCCATGACTGGCTCACTCGAAGAACGCTTGAGAAAGTAGGACACTTCCCTCGACCAGCGTTGTCAAAGGCGCAGGCAACGTCGACGGGCTTTTGCCGTGCTCGATTACCGGGTCCTGAAATGTTTATTTTGGAAGCGCAGGTGGCAGCAGCCAGACGACAAGCAGTCGCCGCATGCGCCTCCGCACGCAGAAAACGGGCATCCCGCGGTTGTGCCTCCCAGCTCAGCGTGCCCGTCCGTCCGTCCACAGCGTGTCATCGCCGCATATCAATTACACGGGGAAGTGAAGATGTGCTTCCAATTCAATCAGTGGCCGTCGCCGTCACATCCCTCACTCTCGGTTAGTCTCCCCGCTTCGGCCCTCGCTACATTTCCTTCCCTCCGGTGGAGCTGGCGGTCACAGGTGTTAGGTTTACGAGTCTGTAAACGCAGAGAATCTAGTGGAACCCTCCAAGGTTGTTTGCCCCTGAGGTTTTACAATTCTGACCACCACTAAAACGCGCGTGGAGAATATAACTCGACTTTTACGAGAACTTCCATCATGAACATTGCATGGTCACCGAGCGCATCGCGTGAGAACTTGGTGAATAATTTACGCGCAATATTCATGGGCGAAGTCGACTGGCTCCGTTTTCGTGACCGGTGCAAGTCTGACACGAGGCAGGGTCGAAATTAGCGCAGGGGTGTGCTAGAGTTTGTTTAGGTATTGGCCGCTGATGCGTGATGGCAAATGGGGTGTTTTGCGGCGTTGTGGGTGCGAACACAGCTGTCTTGATTCACCAGCAGTAGAAGCATGGGACATCAGAATGTGGAAAAACGAGATCCGCTTTATGACTCACCTCCTTTAATTAAAGCTTGAGTGTTTTGTTTTTTTTAAATAGTCAAAATATGGCCTGTATGTACAGTTACTAAAGTTTTACAATGGTGATAGTTAGACCCTGGAAATAATTATTTCAACTTCCTCAGTCAAAAAACAAAAATGCTTCCATCCAAGTTTAATAAAATGGAGGTTTCGTAATAGCTCAGAACGGATTGTGTTTACGGTTAGGATTTGAGGTTTTGGAGGGGGCAGACAGGTACAGTGTGCTTTGCTGATTTCAGCCTACTGCTTTAATGACATTCTCAAATGGTTTATTACATCACCGGATAAAGAGATGAATCGGAATTTAAAAAGAAATGAACTTGTTAAATATGTTTGCCTTATCTCAGGGCAACAGCAACGGTTCTTTTCAAGTTCTGTTTAGAAATGTGAAAAAAAAAAAAATCCAAATAAAAACCCACCACAGTTTCAAACTCTCAATCCTGCGTCAGATTGCTGCCTGCCTGCACCTTCGAGTGCACCAAAGTCAAAGACAATTAAATTCAGCCCGGGAGCGCTCATTTGTATTTCCCCTGCACAAAAGCTTTGCGAGCGGGGCATTGCGTGTTGTTGTCTGTCTCTCACTTTGCAAGCTCAAAGTACAAAACAACTAGAATTTGGCCAAAATGTGAAATAAATTAAGCTTTTACATCATTTTTTGGGGGGAATCGGCGGCCACTGTGAATTGTTTGGAGCGCAGTATTCTGCAGTAGGTCCACATGTACAACATTTCAGCTCACTTTCGTGCGGCTCTGGTCTCCCTCCATGTCTTTTTAGCTATTGTATGCTCCATAATGTTCACCAAATAGTTTGCCGAGTGCTCGGTAATGTGCACGTTGCATGCGGGGACTTGATGCGAGCTTTATCGGTGCTAACAGCTGCCTGCTGTGGCTGTAAAATAGCGGATGAGAACGGCCGTGGTGAACATTAGCGGCCAAGTTCAAAAGGTCAAACTGGATAAAATGCGTGTCCACATCGCTGTCAGGATGACGTTCATAGCTTTGGGAGTTGTCATTTTACTCATCACGTGTGCGTGTGTGTGTGTGTGTGTGTGTATTATTGGTAATTTGCACCTCCAAAGGCAGCATAAATAGATCCGTTTGAATTTCAAGATGAAATATGACGTAATGAGTCTGACGCACATGCACAAATATCGAGCCTCAAATAATCATTACGTGCACTCCGGCAAAAGAGCCCAACTCTTGCAGCAGCAGAATGCAGTGAACAAGGTTTGCAGAATCACAACTAAAAAAAAAAAAAAAAAAAAAAAGTGATGCCACATTAACTTTCTGTCATTCTTTTCCCAATTTCCCGCCGAATTGTAACACGGGCATTCCTCTCTCTTGCGCTCTGTTTCTTTTAGATCATAACCATTTGAATAATGCAGCCCTGTCTCCTCTGGGTCCAGCCATGGCCTTGTCTCACCCGCATAACAACCTGGGAATCGGTTTCAACAAGTACTCCTCACTCAAGGGTGTCGGTAAGTCTTGCACGCTTGAAAGCCGGCATTTAAACACGAGGCTTCTTATTCCACTGTAGTTGTTTTCTTTTTTGAAATTGGGAACCTGGTTATGCATCACATTGAACTGCATTAATAGTCCATTAGCATGATGAAACCGGGGAAGTCCGGCATCGATTTGTAACTGGGATCAGCGCATGTCGATGGATGCCTTACGCGTCCGTCTCGAGCTCAGCCACTAGAACGCTGACAGTTATTGACAGCTGACCTTTCTCTCAATAGAAATGCGAGCTCGTGAAAGAACGGAAACGGCAATGGCAATTAAAGATACATTTTTAAAAAGAAAAGAAAAAGGATGAGATGGGATAAAGTGACATGAGGTATGACAAAAAAAAAAAAAAAAATCCCCACAAACGCTTGCATACAGTTTGTGTCTCTGCAACAAAAGTGCGCACGCACATCCGAGCGAAGCATTCATTGTGATTAACAGCAGTCTGGACAGCAGCGGGGCGAAGCGACTCTGCAACAGTCCCGCAACTCACCCTCTGGCTTGCCCGTCGGACACTAAACGCAACATTTGCCCGAGATTCACATCACACAAAACGCGTGTGGTCAGATGCACAGACGTAGTAAACATTTGATTCCTTCCACGAGAGAAGAACGGAATGAGGAATGAAGAAAAGACGGCACAAGACGAGACAGACGAACAGTGTTGGACGCCAGGTTGAATAATTCAATACAGGGGATGAATTACGACTTGGTTAGAAAGTGAGCAATGGCTTCCCGAGGGTCGTGGACAAAGTCACACACCACCACCACGGACAAGTTCCGGGGTTGGTTTGCGAGGTGGAACTTTTCTCAACACATTTCACACCACAGACGACTTTCGAAAGCGACATAATATTGCACCACAAATATATCATTCCTATTTCCCCCGAAACTCTACAAATACATTTTACTGAGTGACAGAGCAGAGGAAAAGAAGGCACAGATGGACACGAGAAAAAAAAAAAAAAAAAACTACAAGCGTACTCGTACGGAGGGAAACTGGAAGATGACACCTATTTTGGAAACAGCTTGTTTTTTCTTGAGGAAGCAAATTATTCATAAAGGGGGAAAACAAGGTTGATGGTGTCTTAAGGCGAGAGTGTGTGTGTGTGTGTGTGTGTGTGTGTGTGTGTGTGTGTGTGTGTGTGTGTTGGGGGAAAAGGGGCTGCAGTGGTGATGACCGAGCAGCAGAGTCGCGTTAATCCGACATGACATGCTGAACCCGTTCTACTTTCATTTCCCGACAGTTTTGTGCAACACTCCCTCATCATCTTCCTTCACCCAATTTTTTTTGTTTTGTTTTGTTTCGTTGCTCGTTTCTCTCTGAAGTCATCGTCCCCATCTTTTCCTAATTCTTCATCGTCAGAGTGCAGACAATTCGAAGCTCGGTCCAATGAAAAAGATGCAGCACTCGTATTCTCTGGGGCGCAAACGGCCCGCGGGTGTCGTCTCCTTGTACCGAATTTTTCCATTTGCTCGTTAGACGAGAGATTAGCCGCGTGTTAGGGAAAGATCAGAATTGATGAACGGATTGTCGAGGATTCTCCTGGTTTGCTTTGAATGAAGCGTTTCACTTTTTTTTCCCCGACCGATACGAGTACGATTATTCACTCACGTTCAAGAATGTTAACTCATTACATCTGGAACACATCGTGATTGTAACAAAATGAAATTTTCTGGCGAGGAAGACTTACTCAATGTCCTATTTTTATTTTATTTTATTATTTTTTTGGGCTTTCAGTATCGGTGGCCAGTATCGGCATCAACCATGACTACCCAATCGCTTAAAATAGTGCCGGTATCAGCTCGATACTGATACTTGGTATTGATACTCGCCCATCCCTAGTTATGTGGCACTTCATGCCTGATTTTTTTTTTTTTAAATGCTGTATATTATCTATATTTTCTGCCATCTAAATCAACACATAAACAATATTGTATGTCGATATGAGGTCATATGTAACTGTGTTCCTATCAGTCAACAAATCCAATTTTCTCCGGACGAACAAATTTATAATCTCTTAATTTACATTTATAAAATCACATCCAAAGATGTAAAAAATAAAAATATCTCATAGCGACTTTCTGTTGGCATAAAAAGTAAGACAAGAGCAGAGCAGAGCAGTCACGTATGAACTCTCTGTGTCCTCTTCGTCCAGATACGGCACCTCGAGACTACTACAAGAGCTACCCGATGGTGGATTACACCCACCACCAGTCTCCTCCGACTTTCCAGCCAATCAACTTCCACCCAAAGGAGAAATCCTTCCTCCCGCCACCCGATATCCACGCTCCGCTGGCCATTACCATCAACTCCTCCCAGATCCCCAAGCCCAAGATCTCCAAGACCAACACCCACCCGCTGACGTCGGGCTCGGCCTTCAAAGCGTGGGACCCCAGCAAGGGCCACGCCCAGCGCCCGGCCGCCTCGCACATGGTCCTTCAGCCGCCGCAGCATCACCACGCCGTCCAGCAGCAGCATCACCAAGCGCTGCACCATCAGCCCAACAGCCGGCGCCAGGCCTACTCCAACAAACGGCAGTTCAGCATCGAGACGCTGCCCGAGCTCTTCTCCCAGCCGCTGGGCTACGGCCACTCGCCGCACGTGCACCCCAAGCACAAGGGACTGCCGACCAACAGCAAAACGGAGGTCACCGTTTGAACACCGAGACGTCCGGAAGGGGGAGGGGAAAAAAAAAAAGGCCTGCCCTGATATCTTTTATATCCACGGCCTCACTGGAGGAGGGGCAGGCAAATATCGTGTATGATAAGATTTTTTTTTTTTTTTTTTAATGACTGCATTTTCCTTATTATCATCGTCGATAATAACATGGGTGTGCTTTGTGAGATTACAGGATCGGAAGCGCAGGCAAGCCGAGAAGGCGGCCGTGATGTAAATAATCGATCGGCTTCTAAGGGTGTTGGCGTAGCGCTTAAGTCCGCTTCGTCCCACCCGCTCCGAACGACTCGGCGTTGCTCTGTGGCGAGGAAATCACACGCGGAGGCTCTATTTACCCTGCATGCGCCAGCTCACTCTGCCCATTTTTTTTTTGTCCTATCCGAGTCTGCCAGGGCAGTGTTTTGCCCCCCCGTCCCCCCCTTGCCCCTCGAGACTGTAGCTTCCCATCACCAGAGACAATGCCATCAAGTTGTCAGTTCCCACCACCCTCCGGCCCGAGGCGGAGTCAGAGATCAGCCTGGCGATTCGTAGCAGAGAGGAGGGGGAGGGTTATTTGCTTTATTCCAGGGGCAAATAAAAGGATGAGAGGGAGGCCGACCACAACGGCAGCACAGACTACACGCTTGTCGAAAACTACCGAGGGTTTACCCGGGAGCGTCCGAGACCACAACGCAGGCCCAAACTCATCAGATTCTTCTCTCATCACACAAAAGCCTCGGAAAAACCACGCACGAGAACAAGAAAGCTCCGTTGCAGCAGATCGCGCATCCCAGTCAAGCTCCCTCGTGGCGCCGCGAATAGCAAACATACTTCAGAACGTTCCACAATGGGTGGAAAAACACAAACGATTGCACCTATCGAGATCTTTTTGAAGTCATTTCCCCCCCCTTTGTCAGCAAAAGAGTTGAAAAGGGTGATGTGTTCACACTCGCATGAAGACTTTAGTGGTTTCGTCGCAAAATATGCACGCCTGAATCGAAAAAGCCCTTATTGTGCGTTTCTAGTGCTGCGACTTTAATTGCATGTGCAATGGGAAACGATTCAAACTTAATTGCTGATATTGACCTTTTACGACACAAATAATGGCCGCAGGTGCAATGACGGGACAACATTAATATTTCAGATTATTGGGCAATTATTGCTTTGCTGAAGTCCAATATGAGAAAAATATGCAGTCAATATATTTTCTTTTTAAATGTGTTTATTTGAAGCCCACAACAAACAACGAGCACACCCGTCACACGATGTGTGTTGCGCTTTCTTTCCCCCCCCTTTGAGAAAACTCAAAGGAGAGAGTAAAACGGCGCAAATGACTTTTTGCGATATAATCGATGATGATGTATGTGGAGCAAGCCTCAATGCAAAACCTTCAATTTATCACCTACCCAGAGGTGCTGTACTGTTTAAATAAAGAGCCCGAAAAGAAACCACGCGCATCGCTCAAGAGGAACGGAATTGTGGTTCGGGGGGCAACACACACGTTTCGCAGAGGCCTCTTCGTCAACGCGATATGTTAAAATCACGAGAGCGTGGCGGCCCCCCACCCCCAAACCCCCCTTGTGTCAGAAGAGTCCAGCGATGCATACTTTCCAACGATGGCTCTTGCGAAATGCAGGGGGAGTACTTGAGTGCGCTGAAGCAAAGCCGTACGAAGGCTCCTTTGTTTCGCAAGCCGACTCATGAATTGAATTCACCTTCATTTGTTTTCCTCGGGACGGCGGCGATGCCGCAGAGCATCTCGTATGCCCGGCGCGCGCGGCGACATCACATACCCGGAACTCTAATCGAAGAGGATCGTTTAGCAGGGTCACACAATTTAGCAGCCGTTCTCTCTTTCTTTCTCTCTCTCTCCGCTGCCTTGCAGCCCTTCAAGAAGACCGTCCTAACTTTTCAAGCAGCGCTCGGTCGCCCGCAGCGAGCCAATCTCCCTCCATGGTATGTCTTTCATCCGATTTTTCAAAGGGAAGCAAATCACCGCAAAGATAGGAACACTAAAAAAACGGTTTTGCATTATTTGGAAAGGGTTTCAGTTCAGAAATAGATGAGGAAGAAGCCCACAAACGTGCCCCACCAATTATCCTCCATACGTTCATCAGACGGCATACAAAAGTGGTTCGACAAGAGTCGGTTTCCGATCATTCAGTCATCTTGAATAAAACGGTCTCACGGCGTTGAATTTATGAGAAATAAAATAAGTAATGAGCTCGTCAAAATTTCACGACGACGTGTTATTTCTTCTTAGATTTTGAGATCTCAAATACAGTTGCCGATGCATACGTTTGAACATGGACCCAATGAAAGACTTAAATCAGACTACTATGAATCCAAGGCATCTCCTAAAACAATTCATTGATCAAAATTAATGATCTGATTTACTAAAACGGTAAAACATGGCATTTGGACTGCAAAAAAAAAATACTAAATAAATTAATCCTCCATTTGTGACGAAGGTATTGCAACATTTCTTCGATGTTCAATGTCATTCTCGAAAAAAAGTTTACCATTTCATTTGAGTTGAACTCATGATTGGAACCTGATCGTTTTGTGGGGCAGCGACGCCTTTCCAGCGTGCATCGGTTAGCCGCATTCTGCAATTTGCATCTCAGTATGAAGGAGCCACGAATGTACACAAGTGCGGGAGTGGGGGGGGGACGGAAAAAAAAAATGGAAGCGGCACCGTTAAACTTTCATGCGAGAGAATAAATTAGCAATATAATGCCCCGCTCGTGCGGCGGCGTTGGCTACGCCGCCGTACCACTCGAAGATGCGAAAAACCTGTTAGTGGAGCTGCTGGAGTGGAGCTGGCTGCCGCTGGCGTGCTTTTGTAAGAAGGGATCCGCTGAGAATGAGGACGGG